GTTTTTAAAGTGGATAACTGTTGTATTGGTAACCAAGCAACCAACTGTAAACAAGCCAAGCATAATGAAGACAGCTGATTGGTCAAGTGGGAGTAATGTGCGTTAGATCAGAACTTATCCAGCAAATGCATTTCTATCTCCCATTTTTTGGATTTTTGTACAAATGAGTGGATTTTTATTCTAACTTCGTCACTCATTTCTCATGCAGAACTTCCAAATGTGCATTAACACGGGGGGATGGAACCCTTTTACTGCTACTGCCATTTTAGCATCTTTTTAACATTTCTAATAAATGAGGAATGTTTAGCACTGATAAATATGTTAATAATAACTTATTTTAATGCATTTCTGTAGTGTTCTTTGATTTATGCCATTGATGCATTAATGCAGGGATTCTCAACCAGTGGGCCGTGGCCCACTAGTGGGCCTCAGCGATCCTGCAGGTGGGCCGCAAGAATTAAATTAGCCTAACTCTAAATATTCTGATATCATTTTTGGATTTCATCATTAATGTTCTATATTAAAAGGATCAAATTAATGCACTTTCTCCTGTTCTCTGATTGATTACTTCAAAAACAGCCTCATGATCGCGTCTTCAACTAACAAGTCTGATTATTCACAAACTATGCGTAAAGTGAAAGTCAAAGTCTCTCTTTGTGGTTTTTGTGTGAACTATTTAATATATCCGCATAGTTGTCCAAATAAATGTCCTGTTAGTGTTTTAGAACGGCCCATTCGGGAGTATCATGAGGCTCAACGGAAAATAAACTTGCATATGAGCTTCAGACGCACTCTGGCGGAGCTGTTTACTGTTCCTGTCAGCGATCTCCCAATAATATCCAGCTGCAAACTCAACCGCCATCAGATCCACACAATCCAACAGATTTAGGGTGTTTCACTGTATTTTACATCTGTCTGTATATTTTTGAACAGTAGATATTTAATAGTAGATATTCAGTCAGTCCAGTTTAAAGCGGAAGATAGTCTTTTGCAGTCTCCCTGTTGACCTGTGGTTCTCTTTGAATATATACTGTTTTAATATATTATATAGTTTTAGTTTTATATATAATTAAATGAAAATAAAATTATATTTTTTCATAAAATGCTAATAATAAAAAAGAAGACACAACAAATGTATAACATGTATACTTGTTAATAAATAAAGAATCAAATGAGCATTTTAAACAAACCTTTTAGAGAAAATGTCAGACAGGTGGGCTTTCGGAGAAAGAAGTGGGCCCCGAAGTGAAAAAGGTTGAGAGCCCCTGCATTAATGTATAATTAATTAAAACATTGTGGAGTATGGCAAAAGTTGGCATTTCTGTGTGGAGTTTGCATGTTCTCCCTGTGTTGGCATGGGTTTCCTCTGGGTGCTCCGGTTTTCCCCACAGTCCAAACACAGGCGCTATAGGAGAATTGAAAAAACTAAATTGGCCGTAGTGTGTGTGTGAATGAGTATGAGGGCCTACTCACACTATGCTATCCGAACCGTGCCCGTTTCCCGGATCGTTTGAGAAGTGTAAAGCAGGTCGCACACCAGAAGCGCCGCTCGGCGCCGCGACACAGCGCGTACATGACAAATTAAAGTATCGCACACCAGACGCGCACATTCAAATGATATTTAACATGAAACTAATCAGATGGCGCTCTGTGGCGCGGCTGAAAAATGAACTGCGTCCTGAGCCGTCGCCGGGCGCCGCCGACAGCCGCCGACTTGCGGCGCCGGTGTGTGTATCCTGATAGAAACCTATGTTTAGAATTCTAAAATACATAGCGCTACGTGGCGCTGCGCGGTGCACCGCCGAGCGGCGCTTCTGGTGTGCTACCTGCTTAAGTGCTCGGAATCTGGCTCAGGTGGGGTTTACTCGGCCGGCCCTGGCCCAGTTGGAAGAGGTGTGCCACAGTGCGATTCACTTGGGCTTTGGCACGTTACGCTTAAATGTAATGTAATGTGTATTTATATAGCGCATTTATTGTGTATGGCCATACAGCCAAAGCGCTTCACAATCATGGGGGGGGGTCTCTCCACACCACCACCAGTGTGCAGCATCCACTTGGATGATGCGACGGCAGACACAGGACAATGGCACCAGTGCGCTCACCACACACCAGCTATTGGTGGAGTGGAGAGACAGTGAAAGAGCCCATTCGGTGGATGGGGATGATTAGGAGGCCATGATCGTAAGGGCCGATAGAGGGACTTTGGCCAGGACACCGGGGTTACACCCCTGCTCTTTCACAAGAAGTGCCATGGGATTTTTAATGACCACAGAGAGTCAGGACTTCGGTTTAACGTCTCATCCGAAAGACGACGCCCACTGACAGTGTAGTGTCCCTTTCACTTTTACTGGGGCATTAGGACTCACACAGAGCACAGGTTGAGAGCCCCCTGGTGGCCTCACTAACACCACTTCCACAGCAACCTAGTGTTCCCTAGTGGTCTCCCATCCAGGTACTAACCAGGCTCAGCCCTGCTTGGCTTCAGTGAGTAACCGGTCTTGGGCTGCAGGGTGATATGGTGTGAGTGCAAAGCGCACCAGAACATGAAACCAAAGACGAGACGTGACTTTTAAGGGACTGTTTCTGTCGATTTATCAATCATTCTTACAATTCCATGAACACAAACTGTCGTAGGTTATTAAAGACGCAAACCCCTCACTGCACCACAGCTGCGCCTTCAGCAAACCTCCTGATTCCTGCAGCAGGAGGACTATGGTTGTTTATGAGCGTCAAAAGTGGCTGATCGGTTTGGCAAAATATTTGACTGCGTGTCACCGCATCCCAAACCACTAAAACAAAATAAAGAAATGTCCACTGTGCTGAGCGAGAGCGCTTCTTAAACTGAACAGCGAATCATCGATGATGTAAGCATGCCCAGGCGCAAATGCAATGCGAGTGCGGGCCGTCAGGGGAGACGGGAGGGGGGACAAGCGTGCTTCGTCTCGGTTCAAGGCAACTGTACATAGTGTGAGCACGCTCTGAGTTTCCCAGTACTGGGTTGCAGCTGGAAGGGTATTCTCTGTGTAAAACTAGCTGGATAAGTTGGCGGTTAATTTCGCTGTGGTGACCCTTGATTAATAAAGGGACTAAGCTGAAGGATAATAAATGAAAGAGTTATTGAGTATGGCAAATGTCACTGTATCTGGACAGAGAATCTTCTTTCTGCGTCATCCGAGAGGCCTCTAAGGGCATTCTCCACCCTAAATACATCCAGATGATCCCATTTAGGTTTGTAACAGAATTACGAACCTCCTTTTGTTCTGTTTCCCTACTTAATTTGTTTGGGTTAAATTTATTCCACCCAAATCAATTACATTTCATATCATCTTTTGAGTTAGGTTTGTTGATATGTTGTCTATTACAAGAATTGTGTTTCAGCTCATTTTAAACAAGCAGCAGTAATTATTTTCTGAGTGTTGTAAGCAGCTGGATACTAGATAATGTAAATAACACATGTTATTTGTTTGAAAATTATTAGAAATTATGTCTAATAAATGCTGGAAATGTAAACAGGAGATTGGTACATGCTTTCATGCATTATGGCAATGTACAAACATTCAACCCTTTTGGGAATCTGTGTTAAAACAATTAGGTAGATGTCTGGGATTTAATATCCCTCTCTCACCCAGGATTTGCCTTTTAGGTGACAAAACTGAGGTTCCACATATTACAAATGATGAGTTCTCCCTTATAACTATGGCCAAAACTAAAGCAGCATGTATAATGCTGAGGTTTTGGAAAGATATTCAGTGCCCTACACTTTATGGATGGGATCCATGATTGAGAATGTATCATATGAGTAAATGTTGGCCAAAATAAATGGTGATTACAAGGAAATAGATACAGTTGAAGTCAGAATTATTCAGCCCCCTTTGAATTTTTTTTCTTTTTTAAATATTTCCCAAATGATGTTTAACAGAGCAAAGAAATTTTCACAGTATGTCTGATAATATTTTTTTCTTCTGGAGAAAGTCTTATTTGTTTTATTTCGGCTAGAATAAAAGCAGTTGTTAATTTTTTTAAAGCCATTTTAAAGTCAAAATTATTAGCCCCTTTAAGCTATATATATTTTTTCGATAGTCCATAGAACAAACCATCATTATAACAACAACTTGCTTAATTATTAGTTAATTATTAATTATTAATTAGAAATGTGTTGAAAAAAATAACCGAGGGCTTATAATTCAGAAGGGGTTAATAATTCTGACTTCAACTGTATATGGGAGATTTTCATTTCCTCACTTGAAATATGAATGCGTCTATCCTTTTATGCTCCGTACTATTATTTTTAGTGTATATATATATATATATATATATATATATATATATATATATATTTTTTTTTTTTTTTTTTTTTGCTGGTTGTCGAACACATTTATAAATTGTGAAGACCTTGTTTACATTTTATAGATTTGTATGGGATTGTATGTTATATAAAAAAAGGCTTATTAAAATTTAATTTAAATAATGAGGATCGTCCAAAATCATCGTCGTTTTGTAATTGAGCTGATTCAACAACATGACGTGCAATATAAAAGCGTGCGCGTGCACCTGTACAGTTGATTTATTAGTTAACTTTCAGACTAAGTGCTGTTGCATTTGTGCAATTCATCATCGTCGTGTGTGCTTTAAATGATCCTTAACGCCTTAAGTGCACAACGTGCTCACTTAGTCCAATGCCAATACTTGCAAAACACTCGAGCATAAATAATATTTACATAGTAAAATGCTTAACATATTTGCGTAGCATGAATACGCAAAGTATATACACACTCGAATGATTTAAATATGCATTTTAAACACAACTTGTTGGCTTTTTGCTGTTTAAACATGCCTAGTTCATATATACAGTCTGTCAGTCATCATATAGCTACAGTAGCTCGTGCATGATTACAACAGTGATAAATATAGCTCTTTAGTACTTCTATTATTCAATGCACGTTTAACAGTGAGAGTAATAAGAAGAGAGAGCAGCAGTGAGTGTGCATTTATTTCCCTACCATTGATTTTAGTTTGGCCGGCTTATTAATCCACAATCCTGCGATGAAGACGAGAAAGAGGGTCACTGAAATCATCGAAGCGAGATTGTTGGTAGGCCAACCACAACAGCAGCGTGAAGTTCACATGTTCTCCCTATGCAAAAGTCATTGAAGTCTGTCATGGAGATGGTATATATGATATCCTATTGATCGCTGCTATTAATCCATGTGTGTGCACTGTAGGCTTCTTCCTCTGTTTCTCCTAATACGCAGATCAGATATCAACTGAAAACACTCTCACACACACACACCGCCCACGCAGGAGCTTTACGCGCGTAATATGTAATAACTCAACAGCAACATGTTGTTTTGGGCTGCAAAACCCGCTGTAATTAATAAAAACGTCGACAAAAAATGTAAGTGAAGCGTGGCTGTTGAAGCAGGGACATAGGTTATAAGTCCACTGACGTGACGAGAGCTCGAGATAAGATCATTTAATAACTTCTGATAACATCGTTAAGAAATAATTATTTAGAGGATGATTGCTCGATTTAAAACTAAATGCGCATTATATTTGGACACACTTTATTAAAACATCGTAGAGTCTTGACGGATCATCTTGAAATTTGGAAAAGCAGTATATTCTGGATAGAGCGGGTCCCCCCCTCAGGGCGCTCCCATGTTGACATCACGTGACTATAAGCTAATACAGTATACATGCTGAAATAACAATAGAATGATGTACATCAATTCAACTACCCCCATCTCTCCCCTGTAATCTCTTTATGGCTATTAGTGTATTTTCAACATTTCTATTGCATTTTTTTCCAGATAAGAAACAAACGTATAAATGTATATGAAAAATTGAAGTCCTATCAGCAAAGATATGACATGAAATAAATGGCAACAAGGAAACTGTAGAACTCCTAAATCAAACTTACACTTCCTATGCACCATCCCTCCCTTCCCCCACCCCTCCCTATTTTCTAAGACCTTCAATAAGTATTCAAAGATGAATCAAGATATATATAAATAAATAAACCAACTGAAAAATAAATAAGTAAAAATATATAATAAATATATAATAAATATATGGGTAAAAAGCAAAAGAAACCCTGTGATCTCTTTAAACTGGGGTATCCTATAAATAGACGTTAACAGAAACACAAACTCGTGGTATCAAGAATGAGAGATCAAAAGACTACAATTATACAAAACGAGGCAGTCATTTTGGGTCTTCTAATGTATTTATTTTAATGGGTAATCATCATTACCTATTTTGCAGGACTTACTTTGTGATTTAAATTATTTAATTACTACATTACATAACGTTTACAGTAAAAAAAGTATAAATACTCTGAAAGTTACTAAGAACTTTAATCTAACTTGATCATGTTGCCTCTGTACTTTTATTATTAATAATAATTTATTTTCTTGTTTAATTTTCATCGATTGCCTGATTTACTAATCGCACTTGATGTCATTCAATGTCATTTTGATTAACATGAGTGTAAAACACACAAAATAAGCACATTTCTTTTACTTAATTCAGTTGTTTTCCTTTTATTTTTTCATTTAAAACATCACAATAAATTGTAATGCAGAACGAAATGACGTTGCATCAGACCCAACAAGAACATAAAAAACATCACTATAAAAACATCCTCGCATAATAAAGAAGCTTTGATAATTTCATAAACATATAAAAATAGTTGTATAAAATATAACCCACTTTAAAAAAATCTCTGAAGGGAATGACGTACTTAAATACCTATTGCACCATTTCTTATAATAGTCGTAATATTAACAATTTATGCTAGTTTAACTATTTATTATTTCATACTAGCGATCAATAGTGTTTAAGATATGGTATTAATCAAAAGACTTATAATGACAGGATAAAAACTCACAAAACTCCACCGATTGGCTCCTCAGGCTTCTGTAACGCCTGCCTGATAGCATGAGCGTGAGCAGACTGGCCAGGGTGGGTTGAATCCCTTAAAATGCTATTTAATTCACCTATAATCATTCAGAGACATGCCCAGCTTATAAGTTAAACACTAAGCCCTAATTATCCCTAAAATAATTATAATATATAAAATAACATAAATTAACACACAGTACGAACATAAATGTTATAGGGGTTTAAAAAATCATACTAGTTAAACAACTCAAGCGATTCTTAAGGCTTCTGTAATGAGCTGAATCAACTTTTCCCATGGGCGTCAAGGTGGCGCAGTGGGTCAGTTGGCATTTCTGTGTGGAGTTTGCATGTTCTCCCCGTGTTTCTGGGTGCTTCGGTTTCCCACACAGTCTAAAGATATGCGCTATAGGTGAATTGAATAAGCTAAATTGGCCGTAGTGTGCATGAGAAGTAAAAAAAAAAGTTTATGAGATGCAAAAGCATCTGCTGCGTAATACATATGCTGGAAAAGTTGGCGGTTCATTCCACTGTGGCGACCCCTGATTCATAAAGGGACTAGGTCAAAAAGAAAATGAATGAATGGACTTTTCCCATTTTATAAATGACTTCAAATTATATGTAAACTTTTAGAACAATCATGCAACAAAATACATCTTGATCATGTGGCATTGAATAAATAAAGTGGAAAAAAAACTAATAACAAACAGGTAATTATATGTATTTGTACTAAATAAAATTGCAGTCTTTCCATTTTTCAATGTTTGTATAATTACTTATTTTGTGTATCACTTGACGATTCATAAAAATCTGTGTAATTTCCTATGCATTATTTGACTGTTTATAATTATTTTAGTAACTTACTGAATAAAACTGTAATTATTAAATATGCACTAGTCATTTATTTCAAATGTAATTAGCATTAATGGCATTTTGGATAAATAAGATTACAATTAATAAACACTTATGCGAAGTCATCTTGTATTAGTGTTGCATTTGAACTTAAGAAGCCGTTTTATTTAGTGTATATAGGGTGCCCTTCAGTATACCATGTTGGCGTCACGTGACTAGCGGTGTTAAGTTACTACTAATAATAAACATGCAGCAAAAGTTCTTCAGACTGCATATAGCATCTCAGACTGAAAATGCCAAAAAAAAGTGTAATTGTTTCAACTAAAATTGCAGTATTTCATTATTAATACATTCATGTTTAGTACAATGTATTGAGCAATCACAATTGTTAACTTACTGATTAAAATTTTATATGCGCTTAGCATTTGCATATTGCTTAAACATTTCAAATAAGTGACTCAGTTGGAGAAATATGATTAAAAATATGCAAAGTCCCGTCATACTTGAAATTGACCTTGGAAAAGCAGTTTTGTTATGTAATATCGCATAATCAGATGTCATGCTCATCTTTTATAGCTTCTACCAAGACAAAAGTCTTGACTTGCACTGTAAGAAGTGCAGGCTTCCACACAATTCACCGATAGTCACAACACAAGTTGAAATTTGACTTCAATTTAAGTGGATTGAACACAAAATAATTACGTTGTCCCAAAAAAAAATCTCAAGAATTGTTTCAGCTCACATTAAATAAGTAGTTTAAACAAGCAGCAATTAATTTTAAGTGTAGTGTATCATTACAAATGTTGTTTGGCTCAGTATTATCCTGTCCGTCTCTTGCATAAATGTCTGCTAAATGCATGAATGTAGCAGATTTAGCCAATACTTATAACACATTATAAGACCTACACAAAACTATTGATGTGGTAACAATATCAAGCAATGTGAATAAATGATAGATAACAGTGAAATCCATTAAAAATAACTCATTAGAAATCGATGAATAGAAATTCAAGACGTGTTATTATACAGTGACACATGAGACTGAGGGAAAAACACAAGACAAACAGCTTTATGTGACTGCAGTTAGTGTGCTTAATACTGACACCTGTTGGCGTAAAACCATCAATGCAGTAGAAAATGAGAGTTCAATGCAATTCTGAACATGCATTTCTTCTTATGGTGTATGTATATATTTTAAAGTAGTTGAATAAAGCAAATTTTCATACTTTAGGTTTTTTTTTTTTTTGCATTTGAACACCTGCTTCATTCCGGACGTCTTTCAGGGATGTAATTGTAGACCTACTTATGCTACTCTGTATATAACAATGATATTGTGTAATCTTATAGACTCTTTTCACATTTCTGGGTTACTCAGTAGCGGAAGTCGTCATAGTTGGGAAAACTTGAATGGTATAGTACAACAAATAATTTTGTATAATCTTATTTGCTGAAATAATGAAAGAAAAAAAACTCCACAATGATGTTATAAAGACTTTCAGGGAAAAAAAAAATGTGCGAGACCGATGACGGCAGCCGGAAGAGAGAATAACACCAAATTTACTGTCCTTTCCCCATAGACACTGCATTAGAAACACCTCGCAGAAGCGGTGATTTGGTTTTTTTTTTGTAATTTGAAGCAAAGATGAAATAATAGATACATAAATACATATAAATGTGCATATCCTTTTTTTTTTTATATCTAAAATTTAAAACTCTCAAGAATTTAAGATTCTGATGACCGTTAAACACACCATAACAGGCTTGTGAAAAGGGTCCGTAATGTGACTCAACCGCTGACAATATGAAAGATTATGAAAACACTTTGAATGCGTGCGGTTGTGTACACTCCCATTTGCATATCAAGACAATGTGTCCTCTATGTACATTATAAATACAGGCGCAGGACGTATATTAGGATGTGTGTATGATTTTAAAAGGGGAGCAGGGTCTTGTCTTCCTTCTTTTTTTTTGTCCTTGGTTGACCACATGCCTGACATGTATAATAATCCTCTTAAGGCTGATTTATACTTCTGCGTCAAACACCGGCGTATGCTACGGCGCTGATGCATAGCCCTTCGCCGTGGCCATCGCCGACGTGCACCTCTCAAAAAATGTAACTACAAGTCGCAACGACGCGTAGCGTAAGCTCTGTGATTGGTCGGCTTGGTAGCGCTGACGAGTCTGGGTGGGACCGAGAGGCGCGCGAATGGTGCAACTCCGCGCGAGCGATTGTTTACAAGTGTGGAGTCCAGTGAAGGAGCTCCGGATGGAAAGTTTTGTTTTGTGTTTACCCCATAGTTAAAGTTGTTGCATGTCCGCCGGTTCCTGCCTCAAAATGAGCGAGTTTGAGCCACTTGTACATCCCGGAAGTGTTCAGGAAATGCAAAAAAATAGAGAAGAAACTCGACACAGAGGAACATTTACACCTCACTGCCAACTAGCGTTTCGGAAGTGTTAATGCAGACCGACAGAGACAGCGCGCAGAAGTATAAATGCACAGCCACGCGCGTTGCCTGCGCCGTGGGTTACGCCGGTCACCTGACGCAGAAGTATAAATCAGACTTTAGTTGCTGACAGTAGCTGTAATCGGGCCATGAAAATTAGGTCATCTGTAACATCTCAGCACTCTAAATAGGCCGGGTTCAGGTTCCAGATGTTCAGCTCTACTTCTCACTCAGGGCTGTCTATGCTACTGGGGGACAGAGGGTCACCAATGGGCGGGACTTTCCCCCTCTGATGACACATACAAAGAGAGAATAGCTGCGTCTCAAATGGCACATTATGCATTCATGCACTATGCACTTACACACTCAACAGCATAGTACATGTATGTAGTGTCGTCCCAAATGGCACATAGTTTTTTTTTACTATTAAGGAAATTCAAACCGTTTTTCCTCATGATGTTTGACGGTCGCCAAATCAGTGAAATAAATGACCAAATTATCAAATAATATCTACTATTATTATAACCGCATTCACCATCGGGAGGCGCTATAATCACTCTCGTAGAAGAATTTTGCTTTCACAATCCAAAATGAATAAAGTTATCCAACATGTGCGCCCGATAGCTCCGCCCCTTCCGCTACTTGAGCAAAACTGCGATCGTTGAGTGCGTGAAGCGTCCAACATTATAAACCTTTATTTTAGCGGCTGAATGAGTGTATCATCTGCAGGCCCGGATTGGCTAATCGGGAAAACCGGGAGAATTCCCGGTGGACCGGTCCATTTTTTGGCCGCGAGGGCCGGTGTCCCTAGCTGCTTGCACTCACAGCAGTTGCACTTTTTTTCATTTATTTGTTTATTTGACCATAACCTCACTTTTTTTATTCATTATTTTGCCGCGTGCTCGTGAGCAAAATGCAGCCTGCAGGTTAATGATGATCATCATTAACCGGTGGGCTGCACCCCAAACAACGGCACCTTAGTGAATATTAATGAATATTACACCTGCTCAATGAAAATCAGATGATTCACTACATTAATAAATCTGACATAACATGATCAGAAATCTGAAAAGGGGAGAAAAAGGGGAGGGTAAAAAAAAAAAGTAGACTTCAATAACAGCAGATAACATCGAATTGTATAACAGCGCCATCGTGGTCTTGTGGTTAGCACGTTACGTTACGACGCTGCCGACCCGACTTTGAACCTCACCAGAGTTTAATGTCCATTTTTCCATTTTCAATGTTAAGACATAAAATCCTGTTTGGGTTACTTATGTAGGGGTAAATTTTTTGTGTGTGACGAACGTTACAAAGGACTGGATATCTTTAAAGAATTAATGTTCTCAAATTTATGAAAAACATTTGAAGTTCTAAAGCAACTGTATCCTTGAAAAAGACATGTTAGTGTCATTTGAAACTGAATTGGAAATGACGTTATTTTAATATAGTTAGTCGTCGACTGAGGTGGGCCGGTCTAAGGCTTGAAACTCCACAGCTAAAAAGGAGTCCCAATCCGGCCCTGATCATCTGGGTAATTTAAGTGCTCATTATTTTTAAAATTTTCAGTGTGAACGCACTACTTACACTATTTATTCTACAAAATCGTGTAGAATAGTCCATAAGTATGCGATTTGGGATGCAGCTAATGTTAATCAAAGTGCTTCTGCAGACTTAAGTGTGGTTATTCAAATGACAATTTAATAATTTTGACCATTAGAAGCTTGTTGTATTCACTGAATGCTGCCACAAGAAAGTGATTTTTGCATAATAGTGATTTAAATGCATAAGATACCCTTTTTAAAAAAACACACAAGACAACAGACTTTTAAAAACATTTCCTTCAGATATATTTGAAATTCAAAAAGGTGTCAGAAATATCGTTTCACATCTCTATATTATTAGACATTTAGTAAAAGGCCAAATATCAGACACAGTAAAGCTCACGTTTATTTCCATGACACTAAATCTTCATCCACACTGTAAAAAATACACGTAAATAAGCAGTTTTCCATATTGTGTTAATCATGTTTTTATTTTTCCTCATTTATTTATGCTTTTGAACTGCATTATGAATGCTTAATATTTCTTCAAACAAATTTTAACCTTAAAGTTGGAAAAAGTGACTTTTATTAACATTTGTAATGGTTTAAAGTGATGTATTGTCTGCGTTGGTGTTGTAAATAATGATACAAAAGCCTTGTAATAAACTGCCAGCACATTTCCTGTGATTTATTTCTATATATAACATTTCTTATGCATAATATTATTTTAAACTACTAAACATGTCACTAAAACTCACTGTGACACTGTCGAAGTACATTTTCAACATCAAAAGTGGACAGAGCAGAGATCAACATCCCATAATGCAATTCAGAACCATAAATAAACAATACAGAAGCTGTTGATCAACAGATATTGTTTACAGTGTACATCTGACCTTCTATTGTGTTTTTCCACTTGCTCCTATACTCAGATTAGAGAGTGAATCCTGGACCTCGGCCTCCTCCTCTTCATCATCATCATCATCTTCGTCCTCTTCTTCATCGTCCTCCTCCTCATCATAATCATCGTCCTCCTCCTCGTTGTCATCATCATCCAGATATCCTCCTCCTCCACCTCCAGATTCCAGATTTTTCCAGTAAGAGCTGTATCCTGACGCTCCGTATCCATCATCATCATCGTCTGCTCCGCTCTGACGGCCAAATTTGTGTGTTCGGGCTGCAGGAGGAATCAATCATGCGGTTAGTGCCAAACACCAGCTGTTACTATCACTACTAGAGCTGCACATTCCTTATTGTGCTTTTTTTTGTTGTTGTTGAAACACAACATGGAAACATTTACCAACGTGTTATTTCGCTGTTTAGATGAGTAGACTGAATTTCAAGGCTTAAACTTCTTTGATATGGCAGGAGGAATCAATCATCCTGTTAGTGCCAAACATCTGCTGCTACTTTCAGAGTTCCTATGAACATTTTACTACTAAAATTCTAAGACTTTTCCAAAACTTTCAGGCTAATATTTGTAAGCTAATGTTTTATGTAATGTTTAATAAAAAATAAATAAATAAATAAAAAAACGATGCACAATCAATTCCACTACAGCATATAATAAAATAAAACAATTAAACAGTAAACAAAAATAGATTCAAATGGTCCACAAATCAGAAGTGCATATGAAATTATTTTAACTTAGTCAATATTTAGCCATTATTTAATTCTTGGAACACTTTTACTCGCATGTTTTACAGAAAAATGAGGTTTGACAATGACTAATATTTTACATTTTAGATCAATTATTTCTACTTCTAAAATAAGCAAATAAACACATCCTAAATTCCCTCAAATTCATATTGCATATAGATTTGATGCTTGTGGATGCTTTCAAACTTTTGAATTAACAGATATTAAAATAAAATTTTGCATTATTGTTTGTATTAAGCAATATACAAACAATATAAATAAAATATTCAAGATAAAAACTTGCTCAAATAAATAAAGACTTTCAAGCTAATTGTCCTTACCCAATGTTTCATGTATTGTCTATGTATAAGAGGTAAATAAGAAAAACAATGCACGTTCAAATTCATTACAGCAAATTATAAAACAAGAGTAAACAAAACTAGAGTAAAATAGTCTATGAATCAGAAGTGCATATGAAATGATAATTAGTCAATATTTAGTCTTTATTTGATTCTTAGAACATTTCTACTTAAACAAAAAAAAACAGGTTTGACAATGAGTCAATATTTTACATTTCAAATAAATTATTTCTATTATTTTTGCGTCTAAAATAAGCAAACAAACATTCACAAATTTATATTGCACGTAGATTTGAGAGGGGATGCTTTTTAACTTTTGCTTTAACAGATATCGGTATAAAACTCTGCATTATTGCATTAAACAATATAAAAATTGTCAGTTAAACTTGATTAAATAAAAAAAAACATTAAAATGTTATATTCATATGAAACTGGTAAATCAAAACTGAGGTATTAGCACTATATACTATTTTTGTTCCAAGTGTTATATTTTTAATATCTTAAAATACTTTAAATGATTACATTAGTGTAATGATGCATTACAACTAAAGTGTTATTTGTATTAAATGCTAAAACAATATCACTGCATATACAAATTATACTCTTGTTATTTTATCTATTCAAACATATAATGAAATATTTCAGAACTTTAAATGTTTAATCTGGATTAAACTGATTTATTTATTTGATCTATTATTGCCATATCAGCAGCATTGGCTATATTCCTACTAAATATTCAACATATAATTTACAATCACAACTGTGTCTTAATCATTCATTGTACAAACAAAAACCTACAAAAATAATAACAACACTGATTTAAAAGTCATATAAATTGTTTCAGTTTAATCAATAATAAATATTCTGAGATTTCACCTTTTTGGACATTTCCCTGAAAATATTGCCTGAATAAAAAACACTCTCTAATATCATTCAATATATACATTATATTAAAATGATTTATCATCATAATAATCGTACACGTCACAAATAAGGTTTCCTTCAATAAATAAGCACATGTAAAGGCTGATTTATACTTCTGCGCCGAGCCTTGCACGTAGCCATGCAATTATACCATGAGCCGTTTTGTGTTGCTTTGCAAGAACACTACCGAAACACTAGCTGACAGTAAGTTTTTACGTGTCGAGTTTATTCATGGGTGTTTTGTTTTTTCCAAACTCTACCTTAAAGTACAAGTAATGTAAATAATGTTCACGGGCTATGTGACCCCGTGAAGGCTGCGCCGGACTATGCCCATGTACTTAATGCAGAAGTATAAATCAGCCTTTAAGTGTTGAGTGGCCAATCATTGAATCAAATAAGCATTCCTGATTTCTGTGTTAGTGAAAATCAGACTCACTGGACATGCTGAGATCTTTGGTCTCCTGAGTTTCATGCCCACATTTTGGGCACGGAGGATTTTTTCCCTTCTCCTGCTTGAACACTTTACTACGTGCGTGATCATCACAGAAACAAGCCTGAAAAAAAAACACAGCGCATTTCTAGCTGCAGTTTGTGCAACAATTCATGTAGAAACACAATTCAGACTGATAAAAATCCTCACCTTGCACCGGAGACAAGAATGCTGACCCAGACGATTACAGGACAAACCTGAAATTGAAAGACAGGCAAATTTGAACAAATGCTATTGGTATTAGGAATGGGACGATATCCGGAACCAATGACTACGTTTACATGGACATCAGTAATCAAATACTTGCCTTAATCTAATTAAGACAATAATGAGATTAAGGCGTTAACATGAGTTGCTTTTTGAACATTCCTACCATGACCTGTTTTACATGTTATGGCACATAATTTGATTAATATCATTACGTCACAACGCTATCCGCATTTCCTCCGGAGTTTCGTGTAATTTCAGGTGTTTAATTCTTTAATTTGTGGACTTTAACTGCAATTTGGCACTTTCACTTTCATTCAAGAACATTTCATGCATGCCCCTGTGACAAACGAGATATTAGATGCAACTATGAACTGCTGGAAGAGTGTAGTTTTAATGGAAGTTCATACCACATGCTGAATGGAGGAAAAAAAAACTCTGCATTTCACGATGCAGGTGTCTGTGCTCTGCACTGACTCGGTAGGAGCAAAGAGTGTCAAACAGCCGTGTGTGTGTGTGTATGTGTGTGTATGTGTGTGTGTGTGTGTGTGTGTGCTATCCTGTCGCAAAACGTGGCAAAGTCCTACAAGATGGTAATAGTTTGATTAAGGTGTATATATGTCTGTACTTCAATAATGCGACTAAAATCGGCATACTCCACTTCTCTTAATTCGATTTCTCTTTAGATCGATTACGTTTATTAAGTATTAAAAGAATCAAAAATCGCTGTTTACATGGTAGACTCTTAATCACATTCAAATCTAATTATTGGCGTGCACGTAAACATACTCAATGTTTACCGAGGTTTGGAAAAGTCATGGTTTTAACACTGCTAATATTTTCTTTTAAATTGTCCTGTGGTATATGTACGATGTTTAGTTTTTTCGGTGTTGGATTTTATTTAGGGCAACAGTATCTCCAGCAGCAAATGACTATCCACATTAAAAGCTGCTGGTCAGCCCACGATTTAACAAACATTTGAAAACCAAATCACTTCTAATCCAACGTCCAAGCATGTTGAAGACCTAATCAGTGCAGTGGCTTTACTTTATATCCAGAGAAAAGAAAGATCTCCAAAGATGCCTTTTCAGGTTGTAAAGAAATCTGTTATTAAAGCTAATGAAGACAGCAGAAGTCAATGATTTAGCTTAATTATTCAGCCTGACATGTTTACAGCTACAAAATAGTTTAAATGTTTCTTAAAATAAAAAATATTGTGTTCAATGGGGAAAGTATTCTACCCAGACATTTATAAACAAGATTATATTTTACAGCAGTATTCACAAAACTGGGATATTTTTATCCAAGGTTATTAAACGGTAACAATCTTATTTCCGCCCATGCCTTGTTGAGAGAAGAATATTTATAAAATGATAAGTCGTACATTTATAAGTCTCTGCTTCCAAGACCTGACAGCTGGCCTGATGCTCAAACTGATCGTCTTCACACAGAAAGTTGTGGCAAAAAGAGCAGCGGAAAATCCGGCCTCCTGTTGATCAAACAGAGAAAGAGGAATCCATCAGTTTCTTATCATTAATGCACACACCGGCTCATTCTCCTGTCACAGAATCAAGTAAATGATTTTCGCTCACGCTCAATCTAACCAGTTGGTGGAATGAACTCCCTAACTGCATCAGAACGGCAGAGTCACTCGCTATTTTCAAGAAACGACTAAAAAAATCAACTATTTAGTCTCCACTTCACTTCCTAATCTGCAATTGCCTCTCTGGATATACCACTAACTGTACTCAAAAAAAAAACAAAAAAAAAATTACTAATACTTTCCTTCTTAGACTTTCCAGACCTGAAACTTGCCTACAGCACTTATTCATTGTTGCTCTTATAGTTGTGTAAATTGCTTCCTTGTCCTCATTTGTAAGTCGCTTTGGATAAAAGCGTCTGCTAAATGACTAAATGTAAATGCTCCAACATTTACAGGAGAAAGTCACTTTTTTAACTTACAAAAATAGCAGCTTGATGTACTTAGTTTATGTGGGAACTAAATTAAATAAATTAGCTACTTTTCACAAAAGGAGAGCAGACCGCTTAGATTAAGTAGACCTACAATGCTAATTAAGTTGATAAATGTTTTCTAAAACAAATTAGCATGATTGCCTACACAGCAAAAAAAATGAATAAATGCTTGTCCTACTTAAAGTTTTTGTCTTGTTTCTAGTCCAAATATCTAAAGATTATGATACCTACCATTAAAGGTGCAGTAAGTGATTGTCTTCAGAAGCATTTGTTGTTGTGCTGGTTGAAAGTCTCTTCACAGTCTAATAGTAATGATTAAAGTAAATGATCTAAATGTGTTTAAGTATTTTTATATTTTGAGTAAGGCATAAAACAAAAAAAATGTTCATCCAATTAAATAGAGTCGGGCCGACATCTCTCATAATTCAGATAAGTAGCTCAATCTGTCTGTCAGCAAATGCAGATTTGAACAACTGCACAGCGGTTTGTACGCAGGTCCGCTTACTGCCGCGCGTTCACAAGAGAGAGAGAGAGCACGTGCGTGATCGGTAAAAACATGACGAATCAAAACTTTTTAAAAACCTGAATCAATATTGGAGTTACCTTTGCACACTGGAGAAAGGATGACACCATGGCTGAAGGATTTCTCTTAGACAGGGAATGTTCTGTTTTAAAACTGTTTTACCTTCACGCAAAGCTGATGTAACGTTAGATGTTGTTGTTATTAATGGGTTATATCTTCACAGAAGTGTTGTTCAGCTACTAAAATCTTCTGATGAAAGATTGATGTGATTATTTTCAGTTTCATAAGGGACCTTTTACAGCATCGATGATGTAGATTTTTATTAGTTTAACAACAAAACAGAAGTAAATACCGCTATTTCGCCTAGTCTCTCCTTATATTGTTCACCATGAAACTCTAAATATTCACTCTGAAACAGCATGTCAGTTTGGCTTGCAGACCGCCGGACAAGCCCTAGTCGCTTTTAACACATGAGAGAGGGTTCTTTTGCAGTGCTTGTGTTTCAGGAGGCGTGGCTCTAGACAGCAGGGGAGGGACTGTGATTCGGAGATTTATGCTAAGCTGTTAGCATTGTGGAAGATCACCTACTGCACCTTTAAGTAAGGTTATCCTTAAAACAAGCAAAATAACCCTGTTTTTAGTTTCACATAGTTACACACCCCATTGGCAGATTATTTTGCTAGTTTTTAGTTAAAACTCACTTCATTCTGACATAATATCCCTTAAAACAAGACAATATTGTTTACTAGTCTAGAAAATGTTTCCTGCTTTTAAGCACTTTTTGAGATATTTTGACTAGAAACAAAACCCAAAAAAAATTTAAGCAAGAAAAGCACATTTTGCAAATTTTCTGTTCTGTATATATATATGAAATATGTTTTTATAGAATTCTTCTTCCAATAAAGCTGATTTGTTAGCCAGTTTTACTTCTGAATGACATTGTAAATTGCATGCCAGTGCATTCTTTTCCTCTATCATCAATGCAATGCAAGTGCGATCAGGAAATTATCATAATCATTAGTACAGGATTAGACATGAGTGTGTGTGTGTGTGTGTGTGTGTGTGTGTGTGTGTGTGTGTGTGGGTGTGTGTGTGTGTGTGTGTGTGTGTATGCGCTCTTTACCGTGTTCCCAAACGCTGCGGTCACACTCAATGCAGTCTGCATCAGAGAGCGGACAGGAGCAGGCGTGAGTGCTCAAACACTTCCTCCCATGACAAACCCAGGCCTCACAGAAATCACATATAGCCCCCTGTGTCAACAACACACACACACATCCTTCTGTTCACTCTGATAAACTGAGCTGTAGGACTTAATGATAACACTGCTGTGTAAAAAGAGCTCAAATCAAAGCTGTGTTGATTGAAATGATAAAAATGACAGACTGATGCCAAGAAAACCTCCTATAAACAGGAAACAGATTGTTGAACTTATCTAAAACCATTAAATCCTATTTCGGCTATAGCTGCCAAAGCAAAATTTCTCATTTCAGTTCAGTTTCACTTCTTGTACTCTTAAAAATAAATAAATCTATACAAAGTGTACATATAATGCTGTTAAATGATTAAATAACATATAAAAATGATACACTGTGCATAATTATTATACAAATATGAACATTTATATTTGAGTTTATTTATATAACAACTTTATATATGTGTAAAAATAATTATATTATAATAAAAATATAATAGTTTACATAAATATCTTTGTAGCTTTTATAAGTGTATTTAAATATACATACTAAATATACACAGTGCACATTGAAAATCAAACTGTGTAAAAAAACATGCTTTGTTTTATTCAGTAAACTACTGATGACTTAATTAAAAGTATTACATAATCTTAAAGCATATTCTGCATGATTTGATAATCTGTCATGTTTCTATTCATTTTTAGACAACACAATAGTAATGTATTATCTTCTGAAAAGGTTCAATTTTCAATCAACAAATTAAAAGATTTGTTTGTTTTTTGAAGAAAACAAATCTCTGACTATTGATTATTTATTGACTTTATTTTTTAACAAATATTGGAATTTAGAATGAAATGCATGGTATTATATTCCCCGTTTATATCTAGTAAATCCAGAGAAACTGGGGATTTTCAATGTCTCTCCTAAACTTTTCTTTTTAGGTTTTTGTATTTTTCTCAGCTGAAGTATATTAATCAAAATATTACAATTACAAAACACTGCCCCAAAATGCCCACTGCCTAAGTATGTCCACGTTATAAACCAATTTCTTTCTTTTTTTACATAAATCAAACCTGGAGAAAATGAATCATCAGTATTCTCATGCATCTCGAAAGCACTGATTTCCAGTGTAACGCATGTAAAAAGGGGACATTTGCTGCTGTCAGTGTTTACAGTGAGGAGCGTTTCATACGTACCACCATCCCCATTCCAGTGCTGTGAACGCCGGGATGTTTTATGACGCAGTCTGAAGACTTCATACATTTTGTTTTGCCTTTGAATAAAAAAAAAATCAAATAAAATCACATCCACAAATCAACAAAAGTTTTATACAGCGGTCTGTGTTTTAGGTGTATTACAGTAAACTCTAGCGCATGTACAGTACTAGATGAGTTACGGGACTTATATAAGACAGTCAGAGAAAGTGTAGATCAGATCATATGAAAGTAAGAAGCGTTATACAACTTTCTTTTGGCTTAATAACTTCTTTATCAGAGTTCACCACAGTGAAATGATTCATCCCTGTCCATCTGGACAAACATATGTACTTAGTTGAGGCCAAAATTATTCATACCCCTGGCATATTCTGACTTAAACTTCAAATCAACCAGCAAGTTTTTTTTATTATTATAATTATTATCAGGAATGAAACAGGTTCTCTTAAAAGATATTAAGACTATGTACATTGTGAAAAAAAAAAAAAAAATTAGTTTTATTTGCATTCAATCAACAACAGAATTTACCAGGAGTATGAATAATTTTGTGCTTGACTGTAAATATTATATTTTATGTAAACTTGTATTTATATAGTGCATTTATCGTGTATGGCCATAACCCAACGTGCTTCACAATCATGAGGGGTGGGGGGTCCTCCCCACACCACCACCAGCGCGGCAGCCACAGGACAACGGTGCCAGTGCGCTAACAACACACCAGCTAAAGGGGCAATGGAGAGACAGTGATAGAGCCAATTCAGCGGATCAGGATGATTGGGAGGCCATGATGGGTTAGGGCTGACAGAGGGATTTTGGCCAGGACACCCAGGTTACACCTCTACTCTTTATGAGAAGTACTAACCTATCTGCAGTCAAGCGATGCTAAAACATGAACACAGAAAGATAGAATCAAATAGGTTTTTTGTTTGTGTAAAGGCAATGACTTGGTTCTTAATTTTCATATAAATTATGCTCATATATATATATATATATATATATATATATATATATATATATATATATATATATATATATATATATATATATATATATATATATATATATATAATTTTTTTTTTTTTTATATATATATATATATATATATGGGTGATAATCATGCTTTGGGGGAAAAAACACTGACAGGTACTAAAAAGTACACATTAAGAACTTGCATGTTTCTTGATTTGGTTCTTTTGGTTTGTTGTTTTGTTTAGATTATTTGTTTGTTTACAGTAAAATGGCATCTTTTCCTCTTTTTTTCCAGATGAGCAAACAAAAACAGCAAGTTTCAGAAGACTGGACGAACAGAAAAACGCTTGATTGTGTATTATACTGAGTGTGTGTTTGGGGGTCAGCAGGAGGAAGTGTGTATCCTCACCACACTGTGCGCACATGGGAAGTTTCTGCACCCATGAGCAGAAATAGCAGAACGCCCTGTTCTTTTGCCTCCTGAAAACACAGAAGGACAAAACATGATTATTAGTCCAGTTAAATAATAAACCTGGCTAATACTTAATCAGAAATACATATAATTACCTTTGACACTTGTCACATTCCTAAAAAATGGAAATAAAAAGAGGTTTGGTCAGTACATGAATATACCAAACTAACAACAACTTACAGTAAAATAGAAACATGTTATAACATTACAATTTTAGGTTAGATCTAAAGTAGGTAGGAGCTTTGAAATAAATTAAAAATATATATTAAATTACTTTGGGCTTGAAATTATTACAATAAATAAATGTTAATAGAGAATATCTTCTGTAAAAAAAAACAGGTCAAATATCTTTATAATGTTAATTATTTATAATGTTAATGTTAACATTACTCATGCAAAAAAGAAATGAATATTTATTTGTATTTTATAAGATCCGTTGTTAAGTTTTTGTACATTTAATACATTATATACATTAAAATGAGGCGATGCACAAATATTCATATTACTGAAGTTAAAGACGTATTAACGCACTGCAGTGGTATTGATCATAACGCATTTGCTGATTTAGATAAATATTCCCAATTCACATTGCAATGTAAAACAGACTCATATTACTACAACTACGTTCATGCACTATAGTGGTATTGATCCTCAAAATCACCCCAGAATGGATAAAAACATCCCCAGCAACCCACAAAGGTTAAATGATCTGCATTTTAGACATTCATTTAAATCGCTGTGTAAAGTAAAAATGTAATTTGTTCATTTTAAAGTGTGAAACACCAGTAATTACTCGTGTCAAGGCCTGAAATGTCTCACCATGGCGGCGTTACACGGGTGTTTAGCCACATCCACAGTTTCTCTATTCACACGACTCTGCTTTTCCCGCTCCTTTCTGCTCTCAGCCTTCTTCCGAGCTCCAGTCTTCTTCTTGGGCATCTTTTACCTTCAAAAACAGAAATGAAACGTGTTCAACTTTTACTCGCTTCAATCTGAAGCACACTGCGACTCTCTGTTGCTCGGGTTTGATGAACTCCTATGAGTGACGTAACAAACCTGTCAGTCACACGGTTGCTTTTACAACACTAGCGCTTTGGTGTACTGTTTAACACTATATAAATGACCACGTCTGTAAAGCGAAACATACCTGAATAAAAGTTTAATCGAGGAGAAAAAGACAGGTTGCTCACAGCTGATCCCGGTGACTGTGTAACAGTAAGTGGTTCCGGGTGGAAACGTGACCACCAGGCGAAGTTTGTAGTTCCGTTAATATTTACTAGAGTTGTATTTTAAACGTAATAAATCTTTCTGTGGAAAATATTTAAAACATTTTATTCAAAATATCTAAATGATATAAAACCCGTATAAATAAGTGGATTTTGAATAGATATGGAAGATGTAGTCCCACTCCATCACAGAGGAGGGCAACGCACATGTTCAGAGGTGTCCGTAACGGACTGGTTGCCAGATTATGTATAAATCCTCTTCTGCACACTGGATTATTTCAGAGTGAATGCTGCTTATTTTACACTTACTGAATGGAGGAGGATGCATCGTCTTTTAATATTACAAAATCTTATGTTGGCAAAACTTTTTTTTTTTTACAATAAATAGTCATAATTCAGCTATTTGTACCCCTTTCCAAAGAGAAATTATCACTGTACTTTATATTCAATCCTATTGTATGTCTTTATTAAAGAATCAACTGATTTGCTGGAAATAAGTGTGGCTGTTACCACAAAAATAGCATGTTAGAAATAAAATTAAAAGAAATATTCTATTAATTTCTCCACAAATTTTATCCAGCAGATTTTTTTTTTACAAAAATTACACAATGGAATAGATGTGAATAGTATTTTTGTAGTAAATTTGAGGAGACTGCTTTACACTTATTTGACCATTGTGCATGCTCAGTCAACTTACGGAGTGAGGTGCAAAAATTTATTAATAACAATTTTCAGTGTTCTAAAGCCCTTTTATTGTTGTGGAAAATGTACTTTTTGGCTTTACTATGTACCCTAGTCAAGAGGAAAATCGCTTTTATTTAATTAATTTACTTATTTTGCTTACAATATTTTACTTTCATTAATGTAAATGTCCCAATAAAAAATGAATTTTAAGGTATTGATGACTGAATTATGCTTATATATTAGTAGTATTAGAGACTCTCTAAATAAGAAAGCCCTACACACTTTACAACTTTGTGAATTCTACAATGTGTTTATTTGATTAGTACATATGTACATTCTGTATATTTGTAGTTTATTTGTACTTAAGCCTTGGCATGTACATTTTTTGTACAGTTAAAATGTTATAATAAATAAAAATTAAAATAAAAAAAACTTCTGAAAGGAGTCAGGTAAATGATTTATTTAAGAAGTTTTGAAAACCAAATTAAATGTCATAATATTTATCATTTAATAGCCTATTGTTATATAATATTATTACATTGTGTGTGTTTTTTCCTTTTATATATATATATATATATATATTTCAAATATTTATATTTACTTATAAAGTTATATATATATATTATATATTATATATATTAGCTATTTTTGTATATTTTAAAAAGCCTTTTTTAAGCCTTCATTATTAATATATTATCTATCATTATCTATCTATCTATATAAATATATATATATATATCATTATCTATATATATATATATATATATATATATATATATATATATATATATATATATATATATATATATATATCTATATAGAAATAATAAAAATAATTATTTATTGTTCCTTTATTTCTTACTAACGTAAACTAATTATGAACAATACTTGTAAGACATTTATTAATTAAAGTTCAACATTTACTAATGCATAATTTACATCCAAATTCATAATTTTTAACATTAGTTAACTGAGTTAACATGAACTAACAATAAACAACTGCATTTTCATTAAACAACGTTAACTAACATGAGCAAATACTGTGATCAATGTATTGTTCATTGTTTGTTAATGTTAGTAAGTGCATCCAACCTAGTTATTAAATGTTACATTTATTTATGCAAAGTAGGAGCACTCATTCATTAATTTTCTTTTCGGCTTAGTCCCTTTATTAATCAGGGGTCGCCACAGTGAAATGATCTGCCAATTTATCCAGCATATGTTTGACACAGCGGATACCCTTCCGGCCGCAACCCATCACTGGGAAACACCCATACACTCCCACTCACACACTTACACAAACACTACGGCCAATTTAGCCTACCCAATTCACCTAGACTGCATGTTATTGGACTATGGGGGAAACCGGAGCACCTGCAGGAAACCCACACCAACAGGGGGAGAACATGCAAACTCCACACAGAAAAGCCAACTGACCCAGCCGAGGCTTGAACAAGTGACCTTCTTGCCGTGAGACGATTGTGCTACCCATTGCGCCACTGTGACGCTCAAAATAAGAGCATTTAAAATACATATTTTCCTTCGACTATATTTGCCTATTTATTATTTTAAAACTAATGTCTGACTGCTACATATTGTTTAGCATTGTTTGCTAGCTGTAGGTATCTCAGTTCCATTATCAGTTGAAGTATTAAAGTAACGCAATTATCACGAGCAGATCTGGCAACCCTTGACCGACGGTCACCGTCACAACAAGCCCAAATGCTGCTGGGTGAAGCGTCACGATGGTGGACCGCTTCTATAAGCCACTTTTAAAGGACAACGAAGTAGAAAAGAGACATGTTTAAATCAGACTCCGCTTTATTTGCGTTGTCGCCGGGTTGCCAAATAATGCCATAACAAACAGCAGACAACATCCAGAAGAAGAGCCAGGATTAAAACCAAATAACAAACAGTTTGTGATAATTCCTGGAAACATGGTAGTGTCTCTAACACAAGCCTGCCGGAGTCTGGCTCTTTCTACATGGCTGCTGTCCTTCTGCTTTGTGCATTTACTGTGTTTAGACTTCACAGTGGCGGAGAAGGAGGAATGGTACACTGCGTTCGTCAACATCACCTACCTGGACCCGGTGACATCTGAAATAAAGACTGACAGGAGTGAATGTGGCAGGTATGGGGAGCACTCCCCTAAAAGAGACGCCAGGGGCTTTGTGTTTATGCCCCAGGACAGACAGGCTTGTGATGGGAACACCAGATTTCCCCTGCCACATCCCAGCATCCCATGGATTGCACTGATAGCTAAAGGAAACTGCACTTTTAGGGAGAAGATCAGACATGCTGCGGCTCTCAATGCTTCTGCTGTGGTGATTTTCAATGTGGGCTCCAGCAACTCTAATGACACCATCACCATGCCACACCACGGTAAATGACCTGAACATACGTGTGCATTTCGTGTCAAATCAAAATGTTGTTTTTATTTTATTTTTTCTGATCAAAGACAAGCATTAATAAGGATGCCCTGCTGAAAAATCCAGCTTAAACCAGCCTAGGCTGGTTGGCTGATTTTAGCTGGTCAACCAGGCTGGTTTTAGAGGGGGTTTGGCCACTTCCAGGCTGGTTTCCATCCATTTCCAGCCTGGTCTTAGCTGGTTAGGCTGGGAGATGACCAGCTAAAACCAGCTTGACCACCCTTGCCAGGCTGGGAGCCCAGCCAAAACCAGCTATGTCCAGCTTAAACCAGGCTGGTCAAGCTGGTTTTAGCTGGATTTGGCTGGTCATTTTCCAGCCTGACCAGCTAAGACCAGGCTGGAAATGGATGGAAACCAGCCTGGAAGTGGCCAAAACCCCTCTAAAACCAGCCTGGTCGACCAGCTAAAACCAGCCAACCAGCCTAGGCTGGTTTAAGCTGGATTTTTTAGCAGGGAGATGGTTCATCTAAAACAGTGATTCTCAAACTTTTTTCACCAAGTACCACCTCAGAAAAAAATAGTCTCTCCAAGTACCACCATAATGACCAGTATTAAAATACAGCGTATTAGGCTTAGTTAAGCAGCTACAGTTCTGCACAGTTCAAAAACGTAGCAGATTAATTCCTATTGTTATGAATATTTATTATTGTCAGCCACTTATAACAATATTAATAGTTTGAACATTAACTAAAACATTAAAAACAAATAAAACATCAACGTGTGCTTTTGAAAGTTAATTAAAAATGGCACTGTTCCTAAAGTAAACAGAAAACTGCTGTGCTTCAATGTAAAGTATTAACATATAGTAGCCTATTCATCAAATCTTAGAAATGTTCCTTGGACCTCATAAATATCATCCTATTTATATATAAACTATTTTTGATCAATTTTGAAATATATGGTACATGTACATATATGACTTATTTGTATATCTTTGAAATCTAAATATTAACTTGTATTTTAAATATATGATTTATATCTAAATATTTAGAAATTAGATCTTCTTACTGCGCGTTAGAGGTTTTGTGTGTCAGAAAAGTGATTAAACTATAGCTGTCAACATTGGGATTTAAAAACACGGGATACACCCCCAGCAGCCAATACAAATATGGTAAGGAAATTAGCTTCAAATGGTAGAATGCATAACAAACATTCAAAAATTTAAATAAAATAAAAGGTTTAGCCTATTAAAATCAATTTACTGATCACATCTGTGTTATCGTATGCATTAAAAGTGTTCAATTTTTTTACTTAAATTATTCAGCGATTCCTCCACGTACCACTAGAAGGAAGCCTGCATACCACTGGTGGTACACGTACCATGGTTTGAGAACCACTGATCTTAAACATTCATTTAGCCAGGGGCGGACTGGCCATCTGGCAATTCTGGCAAATGCCAGAAGGGCCGGACCAATTTTTAAATGTGGGCCGGTCAGTTTTTTTTATTTATTTTTTATTGTTTTTACGTGCTGGCAGCTTTTATCTCTTGCTAGATGTGATATTATGATGATGATGAATAAAAAACATAAATAATAAAAATAAATAGCTAAATAAAAAAGAATAATAATAAATGTTAAGCATTTGGCCCAATCGGCGACGGCCGCCTAATTTCAAGATGGGCCGACCCAATCCGAGGTTACCCGGACGTAATCAAAATCTGGCAAGAATGTCATATTATTTCACCATCTGTACACCAAAATAAATAGTGAATGTGCGTGTCCGTGGGTGGGGCTGTGTCGGTGTGGTAATGTGGGCTGATGTGACTACAGTGCCAGGGCTGAATTTTTGTCCCAGTCCGCCCCTGCATTTAGCTACTAATCCTCCAGTGTTTTAGTGGTTGGTTGTAGGTTTGGTTAGAGATGCAGAATATGTACTTTATAAGTATTAATAAGCAGCCAATATCTTAAGTAAGTAAGTAAAGGTTTATTTAAATAGCACCTTTCCCAGACATTGACTCACAAAGTGCTTTACAATAAGAGAAAACAAGTAAAAGAACACAGGACAATAAAAGAAGACATGTTAAAACATATTCAAACGAATTAAAAAGCCAAATACAGAAACACTAATACTGTTAATTAAAAGCTTGGCCAAAAAGGTATGTCTTTAAATGCTTTTTAAAAAGTTCAAGTAATAAGCAGTGTTAGGGGTAATGCATTACAACATGAGTTATGTCACAGTATTACTTTTCTAAGTAACAAGTAACGCATTACTTATCAAAATTAAGGAATAATATTTGAGTTACTTTTTTGAAAATGTAACGCGAGCTACTTTAGTTTATTTAATTAGCCATTAAAAATTAATTGCTGAATTAAAATGAACATTATCACAATGAATGACGCAGATTGTGTTCATTAACGCATTGACAGGGTTTGTGCAGGGTCTTAAAATGTCTTAAATTTTAAAAATCCAAGTTTTAGGTCTTAAAAAGTCTGAAATCTACTGAAATATTGTGTTGTAGGTCTTAAATCTTTTTCAAACAGGTCTTCATTCTTCTTTGTTCATATATTGCTACCAAACCTGGCCAAAACCCATACAATCACCAACAATCATCTCGATAAAACTTTAAACTTTTTTATTTAAAAAGGTCATTTTTAACTCTATTTATGATAATTTTCCCTACAATAACATTTGTTTATAAGTGCTCCATCTATTTACGGCTGAGGACACCGACCTGGACAGATTGTTGTGCATAAATTCAGTTTATTATAGTTTTTAAAACCTTTACATCATTTGATCATTTTTCTTTTATCTTAAAGAAAGTTTATGTTGGGAAGAAGTGTATAGTTACAACAAGAGCTTGCTTGATTTGACACAATATTTAAAACATTTAGCTAAAAAAGCGCAATTTTAAATAGTTAAATGTTTAATATTATTGTATTATTAAGTGTAATAAATTATAATAATTTTTTGAAAGAGCAAATAAAAATATTTTTCATCTGGGCCGTTTGAAATTTTTTTTAGTCTTTATCGCTTTGAGTCTAAAAATTCCTTCATAATGGTCTTTAAAATGTCTTAAAAGTCTTTAATTTAACTCAGTGAAACCTGCAGAAACCCTGATTAAAGAAAAAGGATTATAGTCTCAATGGACAGGGATTTATAGTAGTGATGGTGACAAATAGTACTTAAGTAGCAAACGCTTTAGACTTTCAATAATCTGTATATACGGCATGTAGAGCCTTACGTTTTTTCATTTATTTATGCTTTTGGATTGCATTATGGAAGCTTGATCTTTCTCTTAACATTTCTTGCTCTGTTAAACATCAGTTGGAAAATATTTGAAAAAGAAAAAATAATTCACAGGAGGGCGAATAATTTTACTTCCTTCAACAGTATTTTCACCAGAAAAAGGTGAAAAAATCTACATTTTTCATAAACATTGAGCTGTATCCCAAGTTTAAGGAACCACTTTCACTGTTCACTATAATCCACATAATAAATAAACATTTTTTGAGTCAATAAATAATGACAAAGCAACTTTTGGATCAGCTATTCCTTTAATGTTTAACAAGGCAATAAAACCTACTAATACACACCAACATGTGATTCTGAGCAACGATGCAGAATGTGATCAGACACTTTGTTGACGCTGTTATTAATAGTTAACATTCAAACTATTTTTCATGCTAGATTTGCATACTTGGCAAAGTATTTTGTGTTGTCAAGTTAATATTTCAATAAGCCCATCAAGAACATGTTCATACTGCAAACTTGAAATGACAAACAATAATGATGACATCCATACTCCATTCACATGAGTCATTTATTACAAGAAGCATTTGACATGCACATATTTGCAGTGATTTATCTTCTCTCACATCATTTAAAGCTATAAATCATGGCACGTTTCTTCATGCTTTACACACCTGCATGAATAAATCTTAGAAAAACGTTCAGGTCACACTGCAACCCAAAATATGCTGGAGAAAATTACAATAAATCATATTTTGGAAATGCATCAAAGATCAGAGTTGGCATTTTTGTGCATAAATCAGATCAAATTGACAAAAGGGGTCGATATGTTCATGGAAAGCATGTTAAGCGCATGTTAATATCTATTTTGACAAGTTTGTGAAAAACTCCACTGTAAAAATGTCCACAAATGATCAGTTTTCTGTATTTTGTCATTTGTGTTTTTATTTTTCCACATTTATTTATGATTTTGAATTGCATTTTAGGAGCTTGATCTTTCTTCCAGCAACTTTAAACCTTGAAAAGTAAAAAATAAAGACTTTTATGAACATTTTTTATGGTTTAAAGGGCTATATTTTCTGCGTTGGTGTTGTATATTATGCTTTAAAAGCCTTGTTATGAACTGACAGCACATTTTCTGTTATTTTACAAACTTATTTCTCTCTATATTATTTTTTATACATTATTATTTCAAACTACTAAAATTTCAATAAACGTCACTTTGTTAAACTGTAGAGATGAATTGTCAACATCAAAAGTCGACACGGCAGAGATCAACATCCTATATTGCAATTCACAACCATAAATGAACACTTTTAATCTCAAAATCTGGATATTTTTACCAGTGCATTGTCAGAAATCCAGTTGCATTTGAGCTAGATGTGCTCCTGACCAGTTTTATTAGAGTAAATTGTTGGTACTCTTCAGTCATATCCAGGCCATTTTCATTAGTTTGTTTTTTTAATACTACTGTTAACCCATAATTCAAAAGCCATATCTGATTTTCATCAGCCTATTTTCAGTCATTTTCTGTTTCAGTTCTAAGTGCATCAACAAACTGAAATAAATGGCTCAGAAACTACCGGTTCACATCAACAGTAGAGGAAATACTAGATTATAATGCAAAACACGTTTTCATTTGAAATGGGATGTAAGTCGCTTTAGGCCAAGAGCATAGAATCATCAAGAGGCGACACTCTAGTGCGATTTGGGAAACAGCCACTAGATGGCGCATTTTGGAATGAAAATGTCAATAGAACGACAGCACATTATAAGTCTGTAAAATAAGCTATTAAAAGTGCTGATGATTGTGATAGTAAGTGTTGTTTTGTCGTCTTTCAGGTTGTATCTCAGCTGTAATGCACTTTAAAAACACAGGACAGCCACTGGCTCTCCAAAGTGGCAGAATCTGGGGCTGTTGACGGGCGCTGCTGTTGCAATGGAACGTTCTATTGAGTGTCGCCTCTTGGTCATTCTAAGCTCTTTGCTTTAAGCATTTTACTCGATGGCCATTTTTAAAACGCCTCTCGGGCAGAATGCTCGGGCATTCTGTAAACATCAAATTCTTCAAAAGTGCCTGCCAAGCTTATGATTAACTTTCATATTAGGAATCCCCAATAAAATTTACCACCACCAATGTCTCTAGATTCATTTGACACAGATGAGTTGACATAAACCAGCTGATGCTAATCGCCTCTGTGCTCTATGGACCCTGCTGAAAAATCCAGCCTAAACCAGCCTAGGCTGGTTTAAGCTGGATTTTTCAGCAGGGGAGCCGCCTCATAAACTATTGATGATTTAGTGTACACCCAACAAACCAACCTTTTTCCATTTGGAAAATTACAGTTATTAATAGCTCTTATATAATATCAGTTTTTAAAATAGCCTACATAATCTACAAATCCAAAGATTTTCTTTATTTTTGAATGATAACACCGCACCAAACCGAGAATATTATTTCACAGCTTATAAAACGTGTATGCAAATTAATGCTGATCATATGTAAACAACAAAAATGTCATACAAAAAGTCTGATTGGACAAACAGCAGACCCTCAGCCTCCTCCACTGTACCAGCTCCATCTTCTGGTCCAAATGTCTTAAAAGGAAAGAGTTTGCAGGACTTTGCTTATAACCCAGAAATATGAACTTTAGCAGTTCAGTTCTTTAGTACTTTGAGCATTTGTTATCGTTTAGAAGAAATTACTTTATTTGCATAGTCCTTTTAAATAAATGGTGCAAAGCATAATCATTGAGGAGAGGCTGTCTCAGTCTCAGTTTACCAGATTTGTAAGCACTTTAAGCTCTTGTTACTTTATTTTGGTTATTATCGTCAATGGGCGAAGCAGTGGCGCAGTAGGTAGTGCTGTTGCCTCACAGCAAGAAGGTTGCTGGTTCAATCCTCGGCTCAATTTGCGTTTCTGTGTGGAGTTTGCATGTTCTCCCTGGTTTCATAACGGTGCTCTGGTTTCCCCCACAGTCCAAAGACATGCAGTATAGGTGAATTGGGTGGGCTAAATTGTCTGCAGTGTATGAGTGTGTGTGAATGAGTGTTTGTGGATGTTTCCCAGAGATAGGTTGGAGCTGAAAGGCCATCCGCTGCGTAAAAACGTGCTGGATAAGTTGGCGGTTCATTCCGCTGTGGCGACCCCAGATTAATAAAGAAACTAAGCCGACAAGAAAATGAATGAATGAATGAATAATCGTCAATATCGTAAGAAAGTCCTTCTTTGCAGTTCAACCATAAAAAAAAAGTTCAGGCTCAGGATTTTTTTTTACTTTAACCCCTGTGTATGAGTGTGTGTGTGAATGCGAGAGTGTAAGGGTGTTTTCCAGTGCTGGGTTACGGCTGGAAGGGCATCCGCTTTATAAAACAGATGCTGGAATAATTGGCGGATAAATAAGGGATTAAGCCGAAGGAAAATAATTGAACTTTTTGCCATTACTTTATTTACAGTGCTGTAAATTGAATCCACTTGATGGTTATGGTGAGTCCTGTGACCTGCTGTCATGTTATTGATGAAGCTCCATAAAAGCATTTTATTTGACATTAATCACAGAGTCCTGACCTCAGTAATTCATCAGGAAAATCGACCTCTTGACCAGCTCCTCCCGCTAATAATCATCATTCATCATTCCTTTATTCCAGCTTTCTTTGTTGACTCTGTGTAATGAAAACAGTCAGGGGGAATGAAAAGATGTCCTTTCAGATCAATGTTTTCCTCAAGTGTACGCCGGAGATCAACACATGTGAGGGTGCTTGAGTTCTTCAGCCTGCTCGGATGTTAATGTTTAATGGAGTTTGACGGGATAAACACAGGGTCTGGCCGCTGCTCAACTTGAGGATCACTTCACTGCGTTTCCAGGATTGCGAACCGGAAGCTGGAGATTAGCTGAGACGGCTTTAGCTTCGGATGCTAAACTTCAGCTGACGGCATGAGTCAGACAAAATGCCACACAAGACCTGCACTGAAAAACAGCTCAGACACATATTCATGCATATAAAATGTCTGGCAGCACAGTAGCTCAGTGGTTAGCACTGTCGCCTCACAGCATGAAGGTTGCTGGTTCAAGTGCTGGCTTGGACATTCGGCATTTCTGTGTGGAGTTTGCATGTTATCCCCGTGTTCGCGTGGGTTTCCTCCGGGTGCTCCCGTCTCCTCCACAGTCCACCCTGCAGGCACAGGACATCATAATGACGTCAAATTGACATTGTACCCCAATGTACTCCAAAGTTGTAGGGATGTTGGATTTTGTTTGGAAATGAAAATCGGGTTGACGTCCGAACCCAACGTCAGGCTGATGTCAATGTCCAACCTAAAATCTACCTAAAATCAATGTCTAATCAAGTTACACCTTGATGTTGTGTGGACGTTACCACTATGACGTATATCAGATGTTGGATTTTGGTCATTTTCCAACACAATCTAAAATCAACCAAATATCAAAGACCTAGTTAATGAACATCAAAATAACGTCCTTAGACGCTGACTAGACATTGAATTTTGGTCACCTGACGTCATGACGTCATGATAAATCTAACCTAATATTAATGTCTTATGATGTTGTGTGCCTGCTGAGCAAGCACATGCGCTATAGGTAAATTGAATAAACTAAATTGTCCGTAGTGTATGAATGTGTGTGTGTGTGTGTGTGTGTGTGTGTTTTGTGGGTGTGGGTGTGTGTGTGTGTGTGTGTGTGTGTGTGTGTGTGTGTGTGTGTGAGAATGAGGGTGCATGGGTGTTTCACAGTACTGGGTTGTAGCTGGAAGGGCATCCACTGCGTAAAACATATGCTGGAATAGTTGGTGGTTCATTCTGCTGTCGAAGAAAAATGAATGAATATAATAGAATAAATCCTATATAAAACACTTAATCAGTGAGGGTTCTGGTCCGTGTATCTTTTGGTCACTGAATTTTCATTTTAGAAACGGATATTGAAAAACGAGCTGTGTTTAAATTTTCGATTTAAAGGGCACTTAGGTTACCCCTTTTTTCAGATTTAATATAAGTGTTTTGCGTCTCTAGAACGCGTATGTAAAGTTTCAGCTCAAAACACCCATCAGATTTTTCATTATACCTTTTACTAGATCCTGTTTTATACATTTTTCCACCAGGGGGTGGTTTTGTTGTACTGTGCCTTTAAGGCGAGTCCTCCCCGCCTACTATTTCTACGTGCCTTTCTGCGTGCCTTAATCTCCTCCCTCGGCTGCGTCAAACAACAGACAGACTTAAAATAAGATCTTACGTAGCATGCCGTTTGTGAGAAATACTACAGTAAGAACTTTACCAATGAGTATTTGTTGTGCAGTTGCAATGATTAGTCACACACAATATCTTTACAAAGTTCACGCGCGCGCTTAGCTTTACACTGTTTTTGCATGCATATGTGACAGGATACAGGCTAATCTCCACTGCTGTGTGGATATATGTTATGTTAATGTACACAATAAACCTGATTTAACGTCCACAAAGCAGGATTGAAGTGTCTTCTTTCATAATTGTTCTGACACGCGGCTGTGCTGATGAAGTAAAGCTGAAGTAAATCGCTGTACTTCAGTACACACGTGCACTGTTTTAAAACATTTCAAACATGTGAAACTCACTCTTATTCATATTTGATGATGATTGATGATCCTAGCGAACTGAACAGATCTTTCATTCCTGGTTGCTTTGCGCACGTCTGGTCTTGTTGACATGATTATACAAGTGACTACCGGGACATGTTAATGCGCGCAGCTGTCAATCAATATTGGTGGGCGGGGGGACCGCACTCCTACGTCCGGTTGTGGCCGTTCTGAAAAGCGCTCTAATTGATCCACCTTTTTTATGTTGTTAAATTGAAAAAAAAAGGACTGTGTGTGTTTATATCACCCCAATATATACACATATGTCTGTCCGAAAAGCTTGAAAAGTAGATTTTTCACCATAGGTGCCCTTTAAAATAAAAAACGAAAATTGGAATACAATGCGTTTTTTGATTTTCGTTTTTGAATTTTAAACGAAAATTTTTTTAAATGTTTTTCATTTTTCAATATCCATTTCTAAAATGAAAATCCAATGACCAAAAGATACACTGACTGCTTTCTGAAATAAAAACGCCTTCAAGCTGAATGTATGGAGACAGATAAGACTCAAAAGTAATTCACACAAAAGACACGATTTACACGCGTAGCCAAATTCATGTGAATAAAACCAAATTCACATGCGTAAAATATTTATTTATATTCACAAAAAAATGTCATGTTCTCAAAATAAAAATACATTTTCATAAAATACGTTTCACAAATGCAAAACACCATTTGCAAATGTATAAGAGTGTACAAAATGTTTTGAAAACTTGCGAGTTTATCCTGAATGTGAATGTGCAAATCCTCTTTCACGTATGACTCCCCCTGGATATGTGTGTGTGTATTTTTGAGACTTTCCTGCCAGAGGCAGGGTAACTCGTACCTTTCAGCCAATCAGAGGAGAGCTGTAGTCAAGGACACCCACTCTGCGCTCTATTGGTGCAGACTGTTCCTCTCCAGCATGGCGAACGGAGAAACATTTGCAAATGGTGTTTTTTACGCTAATGGTGTTTTGCAAATTCATTTTACGCACGTGAATTTGGCTACGCATGTGTACATCGTGTCTTTTGCATGAATTTCTTTTAAGACTAAACTGATTCCATACGATTGCTGTGAGATTGACCCACACTGTTGTTTTCCTTCAGGTACCGGCGATGTGGTGGCCATCATGATTCCTGAGCCCAAAGGTCGAGAGATCATGGCTCTGCTGGAGAAGAACATAACGGTGGCCATGCACATCTCCATCGGCACACGAAACCTGCAGAAATACGTGAGCCGCACGTCAGTGGTGTTCGTCTCCATTTCCTTCATCGTCCTCATGATCATCTCGCTGGCCTGGCTGGTCTTTTACTACATCCAGCGCTTCCGATATGCCAACGCTCGAGACCGCAGTCAGGTGCAAAAAACACTGCAGTTCAATACCTTTTTGACATTGCATGACCTAACATGCCCCTTTTAACAAGATGTAAAACAAGTCTCCGATGTCCCTAGAGTGTGTGTGTGTGTGTGTGTGTGTGTGTGTGTGTGTGTGTGTGTGTGTGTGTGTGTGTGTGTGTGTGTGTGTGTGTGAAGTTTCAGCTCAAATACAAATAATATTTTATATCTCTCTGAAATTAGGCTTTAATCCTAATTGTGGTGTTTTGGTGACTGTCGCTTTAAATTTAAATGAGATTTAAAGTGCTCTTTTCAGAAGAGGTCAGAGCTATAAATGCCTGTGTGTCAGCATAGTGGCAGATGACTGAAGTTATTTGTTTGAAAAGCTGAAAATGTGCCAATGAGGGAAGATGGTCACTGATGGGCGAGGCTTTCCACCTCTGATGACATGTACAAATGGAGATTGTCAATCAAAGTGTTTCTGCAGACTGTTTTTAGCAAGTGTGATTATAAAAAGTACAATTAATACATTTTTACCATTAGAGGCTGGTTATATTAGGTTTAAACTGTGAGTTTTGCTTAATAGCTCCCTTTTAAAGGGATAGTTCACCTAAAAATGAAAATTCTGGCATCATTTTCTGACTCTTCGCTTGTTCAAAATCTATATGAGTTAAAAGTGGGCTCAATATAAACCAAACGTTTCCCATTTTATAAATAATTTTTATTTATATGTAAATGTTTTAGAGCAATTCCAAAGTAAGACAAAACATTTTTTAATTTTTTCATCAGCCAAAACGAAATTATTTAACCATGTTGTACCTCATGTTCTTGTGGCATTAATAAAGTGTTTTTTTTTTAGTTATACGAGTTTCTTTTTTCTTGTTGAACACGAGAAGATGTTTTGAAAAATCCTTCAAAACCTTTCCAGCATTTCTCAAAATATCTTCTTTTGTGAAAAAAAAAACTCAAAGGTTTGGATTCATTAGAATGAGAGTTAATTATATAAAAAGAATCTATATGAAGTCTGTTTTGTTTTCAAGAAAAAAGATATTTAAAAAAATGAAACCTGTTACTATCAACTTCCATTGTATTTGTTTGTCCTTCCATGGAAGTCAAGGGTTACAGGTTTCCAACACTCTTCAAAATATCCTCTTTTGTGTTCAACAGGAAATAATTCTCAAGAATAAATAGGGAATAAATGTTAATTTTAGGTGAACGATCCCTTTAATGTCATGTTTTAAATGCGCGAAGTAAATATTGGATGTTTCTTGCAGAGGCGATTGGGCGATGCTGCAAAAAAGGCCATAAGCAAGTTACAAGTGCGGACCATCAGGAAGGGAGACAAGGTTTGCTTAATTTTGTGATCTTGTTTTTATAAATGCTATGAAGTGAAGTTTATTTATGAACTAATTTCAAGAGGATCACGTCCTTATGATTGAACACAGGCGCTCCCGCATTATCCAATTCGTGATTCACCAATCAGACAATTCCTAATGCCCCAATCTCCATATCACAGCCATCTTTGTTTTAAAGAATCCTCCCCGTCCACCCCTACTCCTCCCCCTTTCCTTGATGGGTGGCATAGTGGCCCAGTGGTTAGCACTGTTGCCTCACAGCAAGAACGTCACTGATTCTAGTCCTTACCAAGCCAGTCAACGTATCTGTGTGGAGTTTGCATAATACCTGCTAACACTCCTGTTACATCCCGGAAGTCTTCCATATTTCAGACCCATCTCCCACCACCCTCCTGTTTTGTTTTATCTCCCAGAAAACTCCCGTAATTTCAGGTTATGTGTTATTCAGACACCTCTATTCCGAGACCTAGACCTTAAACCCACTACCCCCTGGGTCTCCCGGATTTTCAGAGAAAAATTATGGCAGGTATCTTTTACACGTACACCCCGTGCTCATGTGAGTTCCCCGGTTTTCTCCCACCGTCCAAAAGACATGCACCTAGTAAGTAGTTATCAATTATGAGCAATCACTATCTGTTCATTAGCTACTACAGCAGGGGAGTTCTCGAAATCTACCTAAGCTCAAACTCCCCTCTCACCTTGCAAATGGGAGGGAGCCCCAGTTTCGAAGATCTTCTGAGCTCAGGCTCTCTCCTGGGACAGCATGCCAAACAAGCATTATAAGCAATCATCAGCTAAGTGTGAACTCATGAAATGCTTTAAATGCACATATTTTACCCCTTTAACGAGATGTAAGATAAGTCTTTGGTGTCTCCAGAATGTGTCTGTAAAGTTTCCACTTGCCATCAGATCGTTTATTATACCTTGATGAATATGTGGATTTTTAAATCGTAGCTGTTTTGTAGCCTGTGCCTTTAAATGCAAATGAGCTGTTTCTCCCCACCCACCATTCCTACATGCACGTCTGTTTCTCCTGCTGCATCACAGTCAGCAGTCAGTGACATCATGGCTTTAATTGATCAGTGTGGTTTAGTGATTGACTCTCTTTATGACTGTGTGTTCTGGTCTGCTGCTCTTCCTCTTAAGCATAGATTTCATGGAAGTGCACACATTCTATTGCCCATACCTTTTTTTTATCCTTCGTATCGCCCTTTTTATTGACTTTTCTAGGAAACAGATTCAGACTTTGACAACTGTGCGGTGTGTATTGAAGACTACAAACCTAATGATGTGGTGCGGATCCTGCCCTGCCGGTAAGATAACACACACACACACACACACATTAGCAGGACAGGCCTGAAATCATCAATATATTCATTAAGATATTAATAAAACACTTTCAGCTTAAAATAATATGTTATTTTTCATAGTTAGTGTTTAATCATGAAGTTCAGCCTGAAGCTATTGTACTTGGTGAACTGTAAAAACCATCAATGTTTAATCTGTAAAACTTGAAACCATTTTCCCAGCAGAACAGCAGCGATATGAAAAATGAGTCTTTTATTCTAGTGCATTGTTTATGATGGAAAATATGTATTTTATGGCATCTTATGGCCTCATAGTCTGTCTTGAATTGAAATATTTTGTATTATTATTGTTTATTCTATGAAGTGAAATGTTTTTTTTTTGTCTTATGTATATTCTCAATATGCAAATTGAAATATCATGCATCTGGCTCACTAGTTTAAACAATTTTTTGTTTTTATTTGTATATACACTTTTATTATTATTATATTTTATTATAACTTATAATAATTTTATTAGTTAGTTATAATAATTTTATTATAACTAAATAAATAATGAATAACACTTCTGTGCATAATTTGCTAGTCCATTTGATGAATCATGTTTACCAAAACTGCTGGGCATTATTTCAATAATTTTCTTTTCTTTTTTGTTTTAATCATGTTTTTACTAAAAAATTTAACATTTTAATTGTTGTTTTTTAATTCATTTATTATATATTAAGTTTGTTATTATTCATTGTTTTATGCAAAACTAAATATGGCATTTTTATAATTATTTTATTGTCATATTGGGCCCTAACATACACCCAGTGCAATGAGGCACAAGACGTGTTTGCCCCGACGTGTTGCTATTTTCAGACTAACTCAACCTTAATTTTCTTAGTTTTTACTTAGTTTTCCGCCACATTGTTTAAATAGCAAATTCATTTGAGCCACTTTGTGGACTTATGGGTGTTCCGTTCTAGAAAAGAAGTGTGTTAAGGTGCATCGTTGGTGCGTTGCTATTTTGAGGAACTAAAATAGACAGCAGGTCTAAAGTCCAGCGCAGAGCGCGTTAGTTGTGCGCCTTGCTTACACATTGCTTAAAAAACGCAGGATGTACAACAATACACATATCTTTACAGATGGCTTTTTTTTAGTTTATTCACGACATCTTGCTTTGTGTAATGTTATCATTATAATTAATATTATTTATTATATTCAAATTTATATTTGTTTTATTAAAAACAAGCTTTGATTTGCCCCCTTATCGGGTTTTATATGGGGCATAGCACGTGTGTTTGGATATAACTCAGTTTTGGACCACACTTCGTTATTATTGCTCATTTATTCGTTTCCTGGAAATTAGAACTGAATTTAGAAATAGTTTTAAAACAAATGTTTGTGCTTAACAAACAAAATAATTATAAAGGCTAATGAATGTCTTTAGTGGAGTGCGTACAACATCATTTCCTTATCCACGAAAAAGAGAAAGTGAAAGTAAAGGTCAATTGGAAGAGGCTCTTTCTTTATCCTCGCGCTGCAGATGCTCTGTTTAACTGTTTTCTTGCTAGTGAAGCGTTCAGTTCTTCTACTTACGAAGTCCAACATGTAAATAGCAAATGCGCCATGGGAGATGAGACTCTGATTGGTTTATTCTTAAAACACACCCATAACTCATTAAGAGAATAAGCTCAACCCTGTTAGATCATGCACCGCGGAGCAAAGGGGAAATTTCTGTCTTTAAAATAGCAAAAGTGGATTCTGACTCGCCCTTATTGCTTTTGTGCCCTGCGCTAGAGGGCTGAATTCCAGGACCCGATTAGATTTCTTGCAGCGCGGGAATAAATTTCCGAATAAATTGCTAGAGCGGTCGATAACTCTTGTGTAAATTGAACGGGAGCGGGCGGTCTAACAATATCGCTCCCGACTCCCAAGCGAGCGAGCATGAATGTGTGTGAATGAGAGAGCATGATGGTGGGTTTAGCTTGAATGAGAGAGAGAGCTTCGTGCTGTCTATGTGTGTGTGTGTGTGTGTGTGTGTGTGTGTGTGTGTGTGTATGAGAGAGAGCGTGATGCTGTCTGTGTACTTGCTTGGTGCTGTGGTGCTGTGTGTCTGTGTGTGTGTTTACAGACAGCTGTCTGGATTCTGTATCGCTGGGTGGATTTTGCTTTTGTTCCCCCCAATTCATCCCTCCACTACTCCCCCACCCCCTCGTTAGCGAGAACGGGCACGGCGGGTGGATTATTATTATTATAATTATTATTATTATTTATTATATATTTTTTAGATTTGTCTCTGATTGTCTGCATGATAGTCCAGTGGTTAGTGCGCTGACATATGGTGCAGCAGCACTCTGGGCATCCAGAGTTCGAATCCCGGCTCATGAACCTTTCTCAATTCTATGCTAAATCAGTAGTATGCTAAATTATAAAGAAATATGAAATAATTAATAGCGGCACGCTGACTCAGTGGTTAGCACTGTCGCCTCACAGCAAGAAGGTCACTGGTTCAAGTCACAGCTGGGTTATTTATCATTTCTGTGTGGAGTTTGCATGTTCTCCCCGTGTTGACATGGGTTTCATTCGGTGATCCGGTTTCCCCCACAGTCCAAACACATCCACTATAGGTGAACTGGGTTAGCTAAATTGGCCCTAGTGTATGTGTATGAATGAGCGTGTATGGGTGTTTCCCAGTACTTGGTTACAGCTGGAAGGCCATCTCCTGTGTAAAACATACAGTATGCTGGAATAGTTGGCGATTCATTCCGCTGTGGCGACCTCTGAAATAAAGAGCCGGCGGAAAATGAATGTTCTAAAATGAATCCACTTAATTGAATCTAATTAATAGAATTAATCTAATTCGAATGAATCTAATTAATAATTTAAAATAGTCTAACATACTATAAATCTGTAACTTAGCAAATGGTCTGTAAAACTAAGTTCAGTTATTCTAAATATTCACTTTGCAGAGAGCATTTAATATGGTAAAATGGTGTAAATGGCACTTGTTTACTGTATGCAGCTGATGTTTCTCTTCTGTGAACTGTGCTGTCATTTTCAGGCATGTCTTCCATAGGAACTGTGTGGACCCGTGGCTTCAAGACCACAGAACGTGTCCCATGTGCAAAATGAACATCCTGAAGGCGCTGGGCATCCCGGTAAGAGCAGAGAGACTGTCACATAAAAACAGTGTTGGGTTTAATGACTTATAAAGTAACTAGTAACTCTAATTCAATCACTTGCTTTCAATTCTGAAAAAATGTTTGCCTTAAATATTGTGAATAGTTATTAAACAGTTATGAGAAAGTTCAGAGAAATATATTTTGCAGAATAAATACATTTTCAGTAATGCTGTATTTCTCCATCAGCCCAACACAGACTGCTCAGACGACGCTCCTCCAGACTATGAGACGTCCAGTGGGCAACCAAGCATCGCAGTGACTGGTGCCAGTGAGGTGTCTGTCGGCGAGAGCTCGCTGGTTTTAGACCAGCCACTCAGAATAACCGGTCTGTCACACGATTACCAGGAGATGAACTCGGTGCCGGCGGACGCAGAGAGTCCACACATCGCCAGCAGTGAGTGTGCAGGAATCCCATCAAACCTGAATGAACTTAAAAAGTCAGAGTTATAGGGTTAAACTTGGAATTCTGCTAGAAATTATGGGATTACATTTGGAATTCTAAAGACAAAAATCAGAATTATGGGGTTAAACCTGGAATTCAGATTACAAAAGTTGGTATTATAGTATGTAAACTTGGAATTATGATAGAAAAAGTCAGAATTATGGGTTAAACTTAAAATTCTCTTTCTGAGGGGGAAAAGTCCAAATTATGGCATGTAAACTTGGATATCTGAGGGTAAAATTTTAGTTCTGTGAAATTCCTATCTCTCACGTTGACCTGCACGTCTCGTGGATCTGGATGTGATTAATTTAGTCTGTTCTGCTGGTTTTGTGTGTCTGAGCTTTCAGCTCTACTGAATGTAGGTCATTTTTTTTGGTACCAGCAACAAATAAAAGCCCAGCCTGTCCTGGTTTTAGTCTGGTGAGAAAACCAGAACTGTAAGGTGTAAATATTATTCCATTGAAAAAAAAAATTGATGTAAATCCAGACTTTTAACCAAATTTTCAGAGGTGTAAACTGAATTAATGAGGAAAAATCTGAATTATGGGGTTAAACTTGGAATTCTGGGGGCCAAAGTTGGAATTAGGGGCTGTAAACTTGAAATTCTGAAGTAAAAAAAATCTGAATTTTGGGGTGTACATTTGGAATTCAGAGGGAAAACAGTCAGAATTACGAGGTGTAAACTTGGAGTTCTGAAGAAAATAGTCAGAATAATGGGGGAAACAATTGGAATTCTGGGGAAAAAAGCCCAAATTATGGAGTGTAAATAAAGAATTCTGAGGCCAAAAATTTAAATTATGTGAAGTAAATTTGAAATTCTGTGGGGGGAAAGGTCAGAATTATGGGGTGGACATTTGGAATTCTGAGGGGGAAATCTGAATTATGAAATGGAATCATAAATTTTGAGCTATAGGCTGTAGAATCTGAATTCTGAAGTAAAAAGTCTAAATAATGCGGTATATACTTGGAATTCTGAGGACAAACGCTGAAATTATGGAGTGTAAACTTGTATTTCTGAAGGAAAATTTAGAATTAAAGGATGTAAACTCAAGACTTCTGAGGGGAAAAAGTCATAGTTATGGGCTGTAAACTTGAAATTCTGAGGACAAACGGAATTATGAGCAAACTTGGAATTCAGTAGGAAAATTGTCATAATTATAGGCTATAAACTTGGAATTCTGAGTACAAACATTAGAATTATGGTGTGCAAACCTGTAATTTTTATACCATATTTAATGATGGTCTGGAAAATTGGAAGTTAGAGGAAAAAGTCAGAATTATGTGGTGTAAAATTGGAATTCTGAAGGAAAATTCAGAATTAAAGGGTGTAAACTCAAGACTTCTGAGGGGAAACATAATTATGTAAACTTGGAATTTTCAGGACAAAAGTTGGAATGATGGTGTGCAAACCTGTAATTCTGGTGGAAAAAGTCGGAATATTGGGATATATAATTGAACTTATTTTTTCTTCTTTTTCTCTGTAGCAGAATTAAACATCCAGAGAAATCTTCCTAACATTTTAATTTGGATTCCAGAATGAATAGCTCACAGCAGATCTGGTGTCAAGACAGGGTAGTTTCTCTCATCACTGTAGGACTCAGATGTTGTTATTGTTGCAGGTGAGCAGCATCAGCCCTCCATGAGCAATGATCCAGACATCATGCCAATGGAGATCGCAGAGCTTCAGTCTGATCTTGAACAGGAGGATGTGAAGTCCTGAAGACTCTCAGTGCCATAAACACGGCAGCGGGACAATAACAGACCAAGAGCAATAGCAGCACAGGTGTGCAACGTCTTTGTTGTTTTTTTCCTCCATCACCACAAAAAAACGTCTCCCTTATCATTATTTTTTTTTCTGACTGAACTGAATGTCGTCTCCTGCATTACCAGACTGCGAGGAATGCGAAGGCTTTTAATTCGGACAAATGTTGACAGTCAACTTCCCTGTGGGATCACTGCCAGTACACATCAGGATATTCCAAAATTAATATGCATCGATGAGTGTGGCTCATAATGGTTATAAGATTACACTAATTAAAAAAAACTATAATAGTTTATATTAATAAATGCTAGTGTTTTTGAACCATATATTCTAGTGCACAGATCTCAAACTCAATTCCTGGAGGGCCGCAGCTCTGCACAATTGTGCTCCAACCCAATCAACCAGCTGATCCTTAAATTAAGGCATTCATGACTACTAGAAACTATTGAACAGGTGTGAGTTGGAGGTGGTTGGAGCTAAAATATGTTTTACTACAGTAAACTGTGGTGTATATTCTTGTATAATATACTGTTTAGTTATAAAAAACTACAGTATCCACTTGTTAAGTGTGACGTCACGCGAAGCTGCTTCAGGGTTTAAGTGCTCTATCAATCTGTATGGGAAGACTCATGGTAAACGTGAATGTTTACAAAGTGCTGTACCACTTTCAAAAACAAGATCGCAATATATATATCAGGTGGTCAGAAAGTGATGAATTTTTTAGAAATTGTTAAAATTTTGGTATTTGTGATACAGCAAGTCCAGAAACTGTTGTGTCCACCATGATTCATATGAAATTCACTTTAACGTGTGATCTGACTACAAGCGAATATCTTCTCAATTCAAATGAGTAGCGGCTTGGACCCGGACACGGTATTCTATACGTCACAGATACGTCACGACTTAACAAGCGTATTGGCTCGTTTGTTTATATTACTATAGTTGTGTTACTATAGCAACTGTAGAATCACCACAACAGTGGTAATACTGTAGAATGGTTCAAAATCACTGTAGTGTTGTTTACTATAAATTGCTGTAGTATTGTTTCATGTGGGTCACTGTTGTGTCGTAAACAGGTTATACATTATAAATGCATCTTATCCATAGTAGAACCAAGTCACGAGTATTCTAGCAGCCAGTGTGTCACGGAGATGTTTGTAAATGCCGCAAAAGCACAGATTAGGCGGATGCTTCACACTAGGTAGTTTTGACAGTGTTGTCGTCTGTTCCTCCTCAAGCACACTGCTAAATACTGCTAGCTTACTGTTAGCTAAGTACTGCTAAAGTTAGTCGTTTCTGAGCAGCTGAAATGGGCTGAACACTTGACAAAACAAATGCAAAAATCAGTTCTTTGTCATAACTATGTTGGCTTCTGAAAGTCTGAGCTACTATTTAAGCCTTTTTTCTTGACTTAATTTCCTCTGAGTTTTTTATGCTTTGTTTTTTTAATTATTCAGACTATATTTTCAGAGTTCAATCAAAACAACATTAAATCCTGTAGACTTTCAATGGGGCTCTGAAAACGTAGCTGATCAAGAGCTAATCCAACATTAGCGCTTACAATCTTTTTACCTCACTTGTAAACGAGCTTAAGATATGCTACCAAAATGCTAAAATCATGCTAGTAACACGGTAAAACATGTTTGTGTGCTAAAAGAAGTATTCTTAAATGAAAACATTTTAAAATAAAAAAATCCAACTGAGAGTTAATCAAACATTAGCTCTTACAGATTTTTAAAGCCACTGGTATACAACCCTAAAGTCTCGTACACACCGGGATGCTTTTCATTTGCGTTTAATGGTGATGGGTTGCAGCTGGAAGGGTATCCGCTGTGTAGAAGATATGCTAGATAAGTTGGCGGTTCATTCCGCTGTGGCGAACCGAGATTAAAAAGGGACTAAGCCGAAAAGAAAATAAATAAATGAATATTGCTTTAAGTTTAAACATATCGTTCATAAAGCTGCTTAAAATGTTCAGACTTTCTCAGCCGACGTGGCGTTTTCTGTTCTGTTCTGGTTTAACTGCTGCAGAAATTGCGAGCGTAGCTTTCATGGGACAGTGATGATAGTGTTTGCTCTGATTTGTTTTGTAGAATATAATAATAGTTGATACACTGTAAAAATAACTATTTGACTTTACTTAAAGTGAGTAAATCTCTTGATCTTAAAAGCAACATGTTGACTTTACTCAAAAAGGTGAGTTAACGCACTGGAACTGTTAAGTTTATTGAAGTTAATTTTTATAATTACGCACAGTTTATTTACTGTAATCTACTAATCGTACTTCTAAAGTTTAGGGCAGGGCAGCTCAGTGGCACAGTGGCTAGCACTGTCGCCTTACAGCAAGAAGATTGCTGGTTCGAATCCCAGCTGGGTCAGTTGGCATTCCTGTGTGGAGTTTGCATGGTCTCCCAGTGTTTGCGTGGGTTTCCACCACGTGCTTGTGTTTCCCTCACAGCCCAAACACATGCGCTATAGGTGAATTGGGTAAGTTAAATTGTCTGTAATGTATAAGTGTGTGTGAATGTGAGAGTGTATGGGTGTTTTCCAATACTGGGTTGTGGCTGGAAGAGCATCCACAGCGTAAAACATATGCTGGAATAGTTGGCGGTTCATTCCGCTGTGGCGACGTCTGAAATAAAGACTAAGCCGGCGAAAAATGAAGAAGTTTAAAGCAACAGCTTAAGTAAATGAACTGTGCATAATTATAAAAGTTAAGTTGAAACAACAGTTAAAATGTCTTTACTCACCTGTTTTAGTCAACTGCGTTTAAGGTAACAAGTGTACTCATCTTTTATAAGTAAATAATCACGTTTTACAGTGTAATATGGGCCTGTTTTGATGACTGCTTTATATTTATCATGTGCAATAGGAAAGCGAAAGACTAATGAAGGTTTATTTTGATATCAAAGGGTTTATTTTTCTAAAAAAGAAAAAACTAAGATATGATAAAAATAGCAGAAGCACCCCTTTAAATATTTATGTTGTATTATTATGAATATTATTACTAGATTTGCTCTATAGATCTCTACTCTATACATATTACTTGTATTGCTGTGTATTAGTTTATAAGTTAGTATTTAAAACTATGTAATTATTATTAATTTATTATTTGAATTGATTTGAGTGTGAAGTATTTCTGATACTTTTTTTAAATGAGACTTTATCTCATAATGCACATCTCCAGTTAAGAGCTCCTACCCAGAATGCACTGCAGTAGTGGGTTTGGCTGATGAATGTTCAGTAGACTAAACCAAAGCCTCAGTGTTTAGTTTCCGCACATTGTTGGAAATGTTTGTGTAATGTGTTTGTAATGTCTGTTGGACTTGTTTGTGTAATATGTTTGTAATGTCAGGATAGGTGGATATGGCACATATTCAATAATCTGCTTATCTTCAAGACGGATCCTCATATTCATATTCAGGGATATTAAAGGTAAAGGCTGGTGCAGTGCTATTAGCATCTGTCTGCCAAAAAGCACATGAGATTTGCAGATTTAGTTTAGTCTGGCATGTTAGAAATGTTTTTTGCTTTAAATGTTTTATAAGATAAAATGATTGTGAACTTGATTTGGTGCTTGTTTAATCGGTCCACAAGTAAAATGACAGTGGGCTGAATTATTGAAGAAGAAAATCCTGAAAAACATTGAACCAACATGAATACATGAATAAACTCTTAATATAAACGTATATAAATATATAATATAAATGATATAAATAAAAGTTATAAGTAAAAATTAAAATATAAATAATATATATATATATATATATATATATATATATATATATATATAAATAAAAGTTTGTCTTCAAACTGCAGGAAAAAAGTTTATATTTATTATAAATGTGTTAGAAAATACAAAGAAAACAAGAATAAAATGTCACATTAAGAAGATTTCTTGATAAAAATGTTTGGTGAATTTAGCCCAGTTTGTGTACTTTTCTTTAATATCTTTATTAAATGAAGGAATCATTTGTGAGATCATTAAATGTTGTTGATTCATGCCTATGTTATAATTTATTATGGAAATAACACTATTTGTGTGGGGTGTCATGCGTCTAAAGATGTCTAGAAATGTTTAATTATTCATTATGATAATCATTTCACCCTTTAAAGGAATGAAAGAGTTTGCTTTTCCAGTGCTTTTATTTATTTATTTATTTATTTTTCCCACCATCCTAAATAAGGTCAAATGCATCAGTGGTTTAATAGAGTCTGCAGCTCTCTGTGCTCGTCTCCTGTCTAATTTCCAACTCTTTCACTACTGTTTTTCAAGTTTGTATTCACACTGCACATGTTCATCAAGCACTTTATCTCCATTCTGAGGAATAGTGCTTTAAGAATTTAAAGATGAAGCGTGTCAGTTTTTATATTGGTGTTGATGGTTGCAGGATGAACATTCACTAGGGCTGCACGATACTAGAATAATGTGTGATACTGTTGTGATTAACGATTTAGCCTTTGCCTTTTCACTCATCATAGCACCTGTGCTGCTGATGATGTGACAATAAAAGTGATTTGATTTAGAAGAATGCTTTTTAATTCCTAAATAGTTTTATTTAATTTTAATGACTTTAAAATAAACGGGTCAAATATATTTTTAGATTATAATTCAGACTAAAAAAAGTCAAGGTGTAAACATTTAGTCTTTAAAACACTGAGTGAAAACCTGCGCAGATATTCTGACTGATTGACTGTTGTCATTTTCTCGCCATTAGTGTTTATTTTCAGTACAGCTTTGGGTAACTCCAGCCAATAGCAGATCAGCAACTATGGGGGTTAGGTGGGGCTAAAGATGGTACAGCCCCATCTGATTGGCCAAATTTAGATAAACAACCGATGCATAAAATAGATGTCATTATCATCACACAGTTATGATACGTATATCGCATATTCTATTATCTCTATGACAATTTTGCGCTTTATTGTGCAGCCCTAACTTTCACTAAAATTTTGCATTGCAAGATTTATAGATTATTAACCCTTTAATTTCCCCTCTAAATAAAAAAAACATCCAGTTTCTTTGGTTACATTTTTTTCCTGACTCCAATCTAAGCAAAATTAGACTTTTTTTGTTGCTGTTGAAAATTTTGACATCATACATTTACCCTTTACTTGTTACTAACCACTTTGAGTTTCTTCTTTAGTTATACACAAAAGAAGATATTTCGAAGAATGTTCAAAGAAACCTTTAACCATTGACTTCAATAACATTTATTTTCCTACCATAGAAGTCAATTGATCTCAAACATTCTTCAAAATATCTTCTTTTGTTTTGAACTGAACCCAAAAAAAAAAACTCAAACAGGTTTGGAACAACCCAACAGGCACATTGGAATT